TCATCACTTTCCGGTTAGTAATGTTTTTTTTTTTTTCTTCTACACATTCCATTTTCGTTTGGTTCAGTTTCAAAATAATGTCACTAAATCTAAGTGCTCGAACACGCCAGAACGCACGCACGCACAGACATGCATATATATATATATATATATATAGATAGATAGATAGATAGATAGAGAGAGAAAGAGAGAGAAAGAGATAGATAGATAGATAGATAGATAGATAGATAGATAGATAGATAGATAGAAGGATTGATTGATTTGGTTTGTTGTGTTTTACGGCATATCAACCTAAATGGGTTATTTAATACCGACAACTTTATTTTCCTGGTAATATTTCGGTTTGCCAAAAATCTTTTTCTGGTAATATTTTTTTTTCTTAAAAAAATGTATATCTGGTAAATATTATTTTAAAACATGTATTGCTAGTAAGATTTTATTTCAAAAACGTATTGATGGTAATAGTTTTTTTTCTTCAGAAATTTATTTCTGGTAATATTTTTTTACAAAATATTTCTGGTATTAAAATCTATTTTTACACATTTATAATGCTTTTACCTCAGTTTCGGGGTTAACTATTTGCCTATAGCAGGTGTTACGGCCCGTCTAACCCAGTTAGATGTGGTCCTGGGAACATCAGTAATATATATATATATATATATATATATATATATATATATATATATATATATATATATATATATATATATATATATACATGTGGTTCCATGCTTATTTAAACCATCCTTCTATTAGAAATTAATAACTAATGACAAATAGTGCCTTTGATTCTTTTTTGCTTGAAGTCAACTGTATCTTAAAAGTACGCGATATACGTCCATATGCTTAATTATACTTTGTTTTGATAAGCTGAAAATAAAGTCTTCTGACGCTTTCTCTGTCTTAACCATGCCGTGAGGACACGGATCCTTTGGTTAGTTTATCGTCTTAAGCCCAGGTCAGATGATCACCAGCCTCGCCTTTCCCGACTCGCTTCCATAGATAGATTCCGGTCTGTCTACCCACGCTGTGTTTAGATCTTATATACATACCATATATCATATATATATATATATAAACACAAATATATATATAAAAAGGGTATATATACATAAAAACAAAATATATATATATATATATATATATTTCTATCATGTATATGTCGTGTGTTCAGTTCGACACTGGTATTCTATCGATTTCGCATTGATTCTTCTCTCCGATTGTACTTCTTCTTCTTCTGTTTAGACATTTCCTTTTCTTGCTTCGATTCAGTGGAGAATTCAGGGAAGATTTCTTGCTTCAATTCGGTGGAGGATTTCTTGTCTTCAACTTGGGCTAATTTCTTGACAAATTCTTCTGTCGTCCAACTTAAAAGATTTCAAATGAAAACGATTGATTCTTTTTTGGGCTTGAAGTTCTTCTGTCTTCGACTTGTATCCTTCTGTCTGAAAAGGGGGCGAGTAATCGAGTCTTATGTCCGCGTTCATATCTTCCCCTGTCCTGCTACAACTCAGCCCAACTATCTCCACTCAAACTGAATTATACGCCGCAACAAACTGGGGTTTTCGTCAGGGTTTTCTCGATAATTCAAAAAGTCGTATTAATTTTGAAATTATCGTTATTGTTTTCACCCCTACTTTCTCACAGAGCTCTTGGTGGGGCGGCGCAATCTATTTCTCTTAGTCTCTCTCATGTCAGGTGATCGCTCTTTCCTGAACCTTTCTCTTTCTTTCCGCAGCCCATGACCGCCTCGTCCAACAGTTTTGTCATGTTTTCTTTCTTCTTCCGCGGTCACGTGATTGTATTCGACCAATTGTTATTGACTTTTGTTGGCGGGTGTGGTTATCGTGCTGGTTTTAAAAAAACAAAATCCGATTTCGCACCTTTTTGCACGTACGCAAAATATATACTTTGTCAAACAGCCCGCCGCTATATATATATATATATTCTTTATTCTTGGCGCCCTATAATTGCTCTTCTTTTTACTTCTTTGTTTTACCTGATAGTCGAAAATCTTAATTATCTGGGTCGAAATATCTCTACTTTCTTAACGTGGGTGTCCAATTCTTAACAAATTCCGTATATCGTTTTCACCAAAACAGACAACTTTAAAGTAAAAAATTTCCATTTGATAATAATTTACCGACATTTCACCAGAGTCCTTTTTAATTCTATTCTTCCCTTTGTTTTAAAAAAATAAAGTCGACCACACGCAGACCTATCTCTACCATCAACTGGATCATCAGATAGCTAGTACATTCTTAGTGAAAAATGAAATGAAACGAAAAATGAAATTAAAATTGATGGTTGTGTAAGTTTCTGCAGCTCAGACAACTTTAAAGTACCATTAAATAATTTATTTCACCAGAGTCCTTTTAAAAGAGGGATCATCAGATAGACATGAAATTAAAATTGATGGTTGTGTAGATTTTAGGGGGACATTAATTTTATTAATTTCATATCTCTCTCAAGCATACTTTGTATTAGGGGAGGAGGAGTGACCAGACCTTGACCTATTTAGACGGTTAACTTAACGGAAGTGATATATTGAAATGGGAGGGGAGAAGGGTGAAAAGAAAAAGGAAAAAAAAGAAGAGGGAGAGGGAAGTAAAGAGAAAGAGGCTGTAATTGGTTTTAGCAATTTATATAAAGAATAGATTTAATAATATATATATATATATATATATATATATATATATATATATATATGTGTGTGTGTGTGTGTTTATTATATATATACATATGTTTATTATATATATATATATATATATATATATATATTCACCTATGAATTTTATTTGGAAATTCACAGGATTTTTCAAAGCGTTTCTGGTATCAGTTTGTAGTGTACTGTTTGAGAAAGAAAGAGAAAGGGTGTGTTATTAGGGATCTATTGGGAGGTAAGGGGGGGAGAAGAAGGCATCGTTACTGGAATTATATTTTGGAGGAAGGAGATCCTGGGTAGGGGGAAGGAGGAGGAGACCGATGGGCTGACCTATGTCCTAATAGTCAAACGATCAAAATTTAATTCGACGGAAATTACCGAAAACGGGAAAGAACAATCAAGAGGTAACTTTGACAAAATGAAAAGAGGTAATTCGAATTATTGGTATTAAACTTGTCCATATATCAGAGTTATATATATATATATATATATATATATATATATATATATATATATATATATATAACTCTGATATATATATATATATATATATATATATATATATATATATATATATATTCCAGAACAAGAAAATAAATTAATTATCTACTGTAATAAAATTATAACAGCGAACAACAACGATTCTCCCAAATTACACAGAACCAATATTATTACTGAATTCACAAGTCTCTTAAGAAACGGTGTTCCTGATCAAACCGAAATCATGAATAATTATATTGGGCATACCACTACATGCCTATCAAGAAAACTCACGTTACATTTCTCTGAATATGGCTCTATTAGGTCTCATTTAAACACACATGGATGCCTACCAAGTCTCATCCGCAACATACTCGTAGAAAATAGAACCTAACAGTGTCATCCACATGTAAAAAAAGTACTAAAATACAGGAAGCATTGATAATAAGAAGAAAAATTTAGCACTCAGTAATATCAACTACGAACACGGTCATAATTTGCTGACCGTGTTTGGAAATTAAAAAAAGCCCATAACTCTAGATAGATAAATAAAAAAAATCTACACATTCAGTTAAAAATAGAAGTAAAAAAGCATCCTTTACAATGGCTAACAGAAAAGCCGAGAGCATTTGAATATACAGAACATTTGGACAATTTTTCACACTTTATGTCCAGAAAAGAAAACACTTATACGAACACAAGTAAAATTAAATGAAAAGCTTAACCGCAGTACCGTCTCAGTCATGTTTAATGAAACTAGTATAAAATAGGGACTCCTACCAAAATGCACTCCCCCATATATATATATATATATATATATATATATATATACGTCTTCAAGCATATCATCAATTAAAAAATGACAGACAGCAGATTCGTATGTTAGTCCGTTGAGTACTGGCATTTAAGTTGTTCTATTTTATATATATATATATATATATATATATATATATATATATATATATATATATATATATATATATATATATATATATATATAGGTTCAGATTTTCGGAGTTTCTTGTTGACATTTAAATAAAGAAGGTAAAAGGACGCGTCTGACATTATCACTGCTATGATCTGGTTGCCTGAAACGGTAAAATTGATATCGTTTTGATAGTTTTCTTATTCTTAATAAACCGAAAACGGAATTCGTTACATGTTTCATTGCTATAATTTCATGTTCTGCATTTGTTGCAAAAAAAAAAAAAAATAAATAAATAAATAAATATACAGTGTCCCCCCCAAATTCTTTTTCAAATAATATATTTTTACAATGACACTATTAACTTCAAAGATTTTTCTGAGGGTGCTATGTGTTGGATATGAGTGTTTCCTTATCGAACTAAGATCAGTCAAAATAGTTATTTCAAGCCTACTTAAAGAGCTTGTCATATGACCAATATATTAGTTTGCGGTTTTATCTTATTTATGAGATTCACAGACTTACACTAGACTACATAAATTACTTTGTTTGTCTGAAGTTTAAAATTCATAGCTGTGTTTTTATTGGTAATTACGTGGTGAGCAGTTTCTTCTTTTTTAATTCTGTACTTTATAGTAAATTTTAATAAATTTTCAATTCTGTACTTTATTTTTAATTTTAATAATTTTTTAATTCTGTACTTTATTTTTAATTTTAATAAATTTTTAATTTTAATAAATTTTTAATTCTGTACTTTATAGTAAATTTTGTACTTTATAGTAAATTTTGTACTTTATAGTAAATTTTAACGTTTGCTTGGGTCGACTAGTTAAATGTATTTTATTGTATGTCGCATGGGTCCTTGTCAGTAATTTTTAAAGAAACATTTGCGCATAGAAGTATTGATTTTGGGTAGTATGTTGAGCCGAAGCATTGAAACACCCGTTCTCGTCGGATCACCGGCGTTAAATAATGTTGAGCCTGGTAAGTACGTAGATGGTTGAACGCTGGGAAACACAAGGTGCTGTAAGCGACGTGACAGACCTAGTGATGCTGCTACTTTTACTAACAGAAAACCTCGTTATGCGCAGGTGCTTCACAAGACCTACCTGGAGTTGGAGTTGGATGAGTGGTGAATTAGTATCGAGACATTTTCAGCCCCACATTACCTATTTTAAGAAACCATTTTGACGTACATAAGTACATAATTACTACTTAACTATGACAGGTGTACATTTCCGGCTACGATATCACCGAATACGTATATCTACCTGTATTGTGGTCTCACATTGACAATAACCACGAATACACACAAATATGAAGTCCGATAGATTAAAACTGAAAGCTGATCTTGAAAATGAAAACTAACCTGGCCGTTTGTCTCGAAAAGGACCTTTAATCGGTTGTGGACTGGGGCAGGAATTGTCTGGTTAACTTTAACGCCTCAAAAACAAAACTGATCTCTATTACTCATCACAGAAAATAAATCCCAGCCCCCACCCGACGCAATTAGAATGCCTGACGTTCAACTCCACGAAAGCACCTATTTACGACTGCTCAGTCTCAAATTGACTGCTGACCTGAGATGGAACAAATAGCTCCATCCACCGGAAAGAAAAGTTGGTTCCCTGTGCCGCTCTAGGAAAATTTTTCTCGTCGGAGTCGATCCTTCAAATCTACAAATCAATGATTCGCCCTTGCATGGAGTATTGCTGCCATATATATTTTAGAACCCCTTCTGTTTGTCTCAAGGTCCTTGATAAGATCCAGAGACGGATATGCAATGTAACTGGCCCTGATCTGGCATCTCGTCTGCAGTTGCTCTCTCACAGACATGCCGTCGCCTCCCTCTGTCTTTTTCACGATAACTGCACCGATGAGCTGCTTTAGCTGGTTCCCAGACTTCATGAATTTAAGCGTTCAACTAGACTGGCATCTCGCTCACACCCTTTCACTGTTGAAACTGTTAAATGTAGCCGCCTCTTGTTCTCCAATAGCTTCATGTCTCGCAACTCTCGCCTGTGGAACTCCCCTTTTCCTGTTGCTATAATGTCCAACTATTCAAATGTAATGTCAATCGATTTCTCGAGATGCCTTGATCTATCCCCTATCCTCCTCTTCATCCTTTCCTCTATCATTCCTACTTGTACTCTCTCCAACTCTCTGCAATCCCTTGCGTGCTAGTGGCTTCTCGCCTTGCTTGGGGTGAAACGCTTAAAAATAAAAATCAGTTGTTAACTGGGGCAAGAATACCTCATCTCAGAAATATAGGGAGATAGAGAAGAACGCCGGAGCGTACAACAGCCTAAAACGTCCTGAATATGGCAATAAAGATGGGGACGACAATCCGAATAATGTAAATAGTGTAAATAGGTACAATACCTCATATCAGAAATATACACAGATATAGAAGAAGGCCGGAGCGTACAACGGCCTAAACGTCCTGAATATGGCAATAAAGATGAGGGCAATAGTCCGAACAATATAAATAGTGTAAATAGTTACAATACCTTATCTCAGAAATATAGAGAGATATAGAAGAAGGCCGAAGCGTACAACGACCTAAACGTCGTGAATATGGCAATAAAAATGAGGACAACAGTCTTAACAATATAAATAGTGTAAATAGTTACAATATTTCATCTCAGACATCAACAGATCCAAAGTCGGGTTTGTAATGTTATCAGCCCTAACATGGCATCTCGGTTCAGTCACTTTACCACTGCTGTTTTCTGTAAATGTTTTCATGGTATTTGTTCTAATGAGTTTACATCCCTGATACTATTGGCAACTAGGTCACATCGTTTTAATATTGAGATCGATAAATCTTACCGTATGTTTTATTCTAATAATTGATTCTCCCGAATTTCTCGCCCGTGGACCTCGCTTGTGGTTTCTTGTTTCCCTGACACCCACGATCTTCAAGAAATTAAATGCAACGTCAGACAATTCCTTCTATCGTCCTGAATTTTGGACTGTTATTGTCCTTTCTCTTAACTAAAGTCTTCTAAACTTATTTGATTCTCAGATAACAGTCAGTTATATATATATATATATATATATATATATATATATATATATATATATATATATGTGTGTGTGTGTGTGTGTGTTTGTTTGTTTGTATTTGTGTGTGTGTGTGTGTAAGTAATCATTTCTTTTTTCATGCAGCTATTGAAATGATGTTCCATTAAAGTATTCGCTGTAGAAAAAGTCGAAAAAAAAAACATGAAAATTTGTAAATCTCACATTTTAGAAGGGAAAAAGTGTGTTTCAATATTTCTCTCCTAAAATAAAATATGGATAAAACGTCTCTGTAATGCGCCAATATTCATGTGTCCTTTTTTGGGTTACAACATTATTATTTACTTTAGGTTTTTCATATCTATCTATCGATCGATCTATCTCTGACTACCTGTTATCTATCTATCTATCTATCTATCTATCTATCTATCTATCTATCTATCTTATATATATATATATATATATATATATATATATATATATATATATTCAAGCCCTTTTTTAACTGTTCATATCTATCTATCTATCTATCTATATATATATATATATGTTTCAAGCTTTTCCTTTGTCTGTCTGTTCTATATCTATATCTATCTATCTATCTATCTATCTATCTATCTATCTACACACATGCGCGCACACATACACACTTATATATATTTAGATAGATAGATCCATAGATATGAACAGAATGAAATAGATGGATAGATAAACAAAATGAAATAGATATCTATCTAACTCCATCTTGCACTCTCTCTCTCCTATATATATATATATATATATATATATATATATATATATATATATATATATATAGATAGAGAGAGAGAGAGAGAGAGAGAGAGAGATGCTTGATAATTCAATACGAATGGCAAAGCCAATACAACGTTTATATTTCTCTCACTTTGGTTTGTTCTTCCAAAATAAAATGTAACCCATTCGCTATTATGTCATTTGTTGTAAACGAGACCTTCAGGATGTATGCACTGTCCGAGTCATCGATGAATGTGAGGGCAGCCATATGAAAAATCTGCATCAAATCAAACATTAGAACATTCAAACAACTTCATAGGGGAATTAAAGAAGGATTTAGAATTTAATGGCTCTCTATCGGAACCCATAGGCATGAACAATGGACTTTAGCAAAGTGAAATTTCTCCTCCCACTTGATTCTCTATTTTCTTTGCTGTGACTCACACATATTCATTGCGAAGACGGTGTGTACCTGTGTTTTAGAACGTTGGGTATATTCTTTGACTCCACTCGTTTTTTTAGGCTAAATAAAAGATTTTCCAGTCAGTTATTCGAGAGCTGATAATGCAGCTGTCTTTGCTCATACCGTAAAGGACAAGAAACCATTATGGATCATTATTCGAAATCATGTACTGTTTTCTACCTAATAGCAACGTAAACAAGACTAGGGTTATGTACACCCTTGTGCAAATTAATTGAAACAAAACGAATAATTACGCTACTATTTACAATCCTTTCGTATTTTCCCAATGTAACATGACCCAGGGCACAAGCTAGTATTTCGCATGTCCATTCCACGGAGACGTTCCTTACAGACTGGCCACAGATTTTCAATTGGATTTAAATCAAGAGAGTTTCTGGGCTAATCTATAGTACTTGGATTTGCTCACTAATAAGGCTTGCCAGTGTGTTCGTGCAGCGCCACATTTTTCGTACGCTTCCTTGGAGTAACGTCCACCGCAGCAATAAGACAACTAATCGACAGTCGAGTCAATAGTGTCCGGGCGTGATAAAAATCTGATGCAATCACGGATAACGCAATATTTTTCAAGGCCAACGAAAATGCCATCATTTACCACGAAATTAGATTCATTTTACTGCCTACCACTGCATCTGAGGGAAAAATAGAAATCGATTACACCCTGTCACGCCAGTAGGTCTAAATCTTACCGTATGTTGAAAGAAAGGAAACTAAAGCTGCTGCCTTAATTAATTTGCACAATGGTGTACACTCACCCTCCCGGGAACTGGTATGCCGAACTGAACATTTTTCTTTAGAGTCAGAGATTGTTGATACTTTTGTCTACCTTGGGAGTACTCTCGCTAGAGATGATTCCTTAGATCCCAAATCAATCGATAAAGACAGCAAAGACTTCGATATATTGGACATAAACGGGTTTGGTCATACAGAGAAATCAAACTCGGTGCAAAGATCGGTGTCTCCGCATCCCGTGTCCTGACTGCTCCACTCTACACTTTGGAGACAGGGACAATATATCGTCGTCATTTCAAAAGCCTGAAAAGATTACATCAAAGGTACTTTAGGCGTATATTAAACACCAAGTGGCGTTCTTTCACACCACACCCAGATGTTCTGTAACCGGCTAAACACCTCGCAAAGAGAAAATACTTATTCTCAAACCTACTATATCGGGCAGGGCATATCACGAAAATGAAAATTGAGAGTGTAGGAGTTACCTCCTCCTTAGTTCCCTAATTCTTCACCAGGGTCTCTCTCCTTATACTATACATACTAGGAAACTTCTTGCTTCTTTCTCTTTTTCCTTCAGGCCTCGTACCGAATCCCACCTCGCGTGCAGATGAGGTAAAACTCTCTTTCTTCTTCATTTCAGCGACAAAATGTAAGCTCTTTCTCATTTCTGGGAAAACACTATGAACATTACAAACATACTTACGTACGAACATTCGCCTCACTAACATTCACCAAAAAAAAAACAATGTTCTCACACAAACTCAAATGATATGTCTGTTTGCCATGTAATTTGTTTAATACATATTTGTTGATATATACATATATCTGTTTTGTTTGTCGTCTTTCATCTCCGGTTGGACAAATTAAGTCCGCCAGTTTTCATATAGTTGAGCCTTTTAATATTCTACCAGGAGTTGTACACGTGTCTCTAATACAACAACACGTAAATACACACACGGCCGGCTATAAGAGAATGCCTAAGAACATTTTTACGGGAAGCTCGCTATTAGTAGGCACCCCAGAGAGAAACCCACGCAGCAT